GTTCATTTATTTATAATCAATTTCTGTCTGGGGTACTTCAATAGTCATAGATGCTAAAAAATTATCATAATCAATACCAAACTATACATTTTATGTCATTATCATCTAAAAGGTATGTGTGCGTAGACAGTTTAAAATTCTGGATTATTTATAAACTATTTAATAGAAGGGAACATACTGGTTTCCTCATGAAACATACTAAATTCATTTATATAAATTAAAGCATAAATTACATGTAGTATATACTGTATTTCTTAGTAATCTGTGGCCATATAACCCAGAAACTAAAATTTATCCTGGATTCCCTCATCCTTCTACTTTAGCTGCCACATTCAACAAATCATCATTGTCTGTGAAGCTTAATAGTTGAACATCTCTTGAATCAACCACTCTTCTCCACTATCACCATGAAGCCAACATACTCTGTGATCCAGACCCTCTCACTTGTTACCTCCTGCTCCTCTTCATACCATAATCACTGTGACCAAAGTGATTTATATTTTTTTAAGTATTTAAAACGATAATGTCACTTCCCTGCTTTTATGAAAACCATTCAATGTCTTCACATAGTATTTAGGATAAAGACCAAAATACTTAACTACAAACTCTCTAGGATGCTGCCTAGAAATTGCAAACTCAACAACCAGGTTAGGTATTCATTCATTATATTTATTTATTTGCCATCTTAACTGAGTGGCATATAATGGAGAGCACATGGCCCTCCAGAGCAGTGGTCCTCAAACTCTTTGGCATCAGGGACTGGTTTTATAGAAAACTACTTTCAGGGAGAGGGAGGTGTGGAGGGAGATGGTTGTGGGACAATTCAAGCATATTACATTTATTGCACATTTTGTTTGTATTATTATTACATTATAATGCATTATATATATGAAATAAGTATATTACTCACCATAATGCAGAATCAGTGGCAGTCCTGACTAGGCTGGTTTTCCTGCAACTAGATGGTCCCAGTACTAGCAGCACTGCCTCAGCTCCACCTTAGATTAGGCATTAGATTCTCATAATGAATGTGCATGAATCCCTCACATAGACAGTTTACAGTAGAGTTTGTGCTCCTATGAGAACCTAATGCCACCACTGATCTGACAGGAGACAAAGCTAAGATGGTGATGTGAGTGATGGGGGGGCTGTAAATAAAAGTAAAGCTTTGCTTGCTCACCAGCTGCCAGCTGCTCACCTCCTGCTATGCGGTTCTTAACAGGCCTACAGCCCACAGACCAGGAGAGATATTACCCCACACACACACACACACACACAACGAGGGGTTGTTGATATGGGGGACTGCAGCTCTAGAGGAAGCAGCTGCTACCTGGTTCCAGTTGATTGTTAGTATCTGAAAATACAGTTGAGAGTTGCCATATTCTCTAATTTTTCATGAGAAATCAGAAATATAGACTTTGATGTGAAATCTCCTGATTTGTGAATACTGACAAACTTTTGTTGACAAGGATAAGGAGGCCAAATTTGACCTCCTATCTAGTTTCATTACCTAACCCACACAGCTGCTCTCTACATCAGCCATATTGCATTTCTCAGCCCCTCCGGTTGATGTCATGCTTTTTTACCTTAGGGCTCTCAAAAACCGAGTCCTCTGCTTTGACCGCTTCTACCTCCAACCCTAATCTCTGCTTCACTTGGCAATCTCCTACTTACTCTGTCTCTGAGCCATGCTTCCTCAATGAAGTGTTCCCTATTCCCACTGCTCCCGCTACCTCTACTCCATAGGCTATCAGGGGACCTCAAACTTTTTAAACAAGGGGCCAGTTCACTGTCCCTCAGACTGCTGGAGGGCTGGACTGTGGGCCCCGGGAAGAGTCAGCTGCTAAACAGGACAGGAAGCTGTGGCAAAACAACTAGGTGGGCCGGATAAATGTCCTAGGCGGGCTGCATATGGCCCGCGGGCCATAGTTTGAAGAAGCCTAGGCTAGGTCACCCAGTTCATGTGCTCAGACAGCCCTAAGTACACCTTCATAACTCTCATCACACCTCAAAATAAAAATTACTTATTTAATGCCCATCATCTCCTCTATAAAATCAGGGCCTGCCTGGCACATTACGCATGCAATATGTATCTCTTGCTAACTAGTTTGGTGACAGATTGTTTATTTAGACAGTAAGATTCTGGTGTACTTTTAAAATATTAGTCAAACTTTAACTTTTCAGAAACAGTATTTAAAGCGAAGTAGAGCTAGAATTAAAATATCCATTACAATTTTAATTAGTACTAATTGCTAACATTACTGGGCATTTACTAAATGCTGGGAACTATGTTGAGTGTTCTGCATGTATATCTCTGTCAATACAACCTATAAAGTAGATACCACTGTTGTACAGAGGAAGCAACTAAGGCATAGAGTTTAAAAACTTGCTCAAGATCACACATCTAATCAGTGGCAAACTAGGGTATGAATCCATGTAATCTGACTCCAGTGCTTAAACACCAAAAATACTATACTAAACTAATTCATTAATAAAGAAATGCCAACTCCTTTAAATGCCTTCTCCTATAGATGGAAAAATTCATTGTAATGGCTGCCTAATTGTAATAATATAATGTAAATATGACAAACACTTGTGAAAATGAGTAAGCAAAGAGTAAGGTTTCTGCTAGTGATATAAGTGTATTAGAAATTTGGCTTCTGACAAAAAGGATGATTTTTTTTCATTCAAAATTAAATGAAATGCATATTGTGTATCTTAAAAAATATATCAATTCAGTAAGTATCTCTTAAGTACTGTGAATAAGAAATAATGGCCATAATTTATTTTCCATTACTTAATAGTACTTTCTATCCTGTACCTTTAACCATACACACACAATTTAAGATAAACCACTGATCTGTATTTTCTAACTAAAGAATTTTTTTGGCCCATGCCCAAAATAGGTATGATCTTAGTACCAACTAATTCTGTAAATGCTACACATTAATTTAATGTTTTGTGATTTCACATTTTAAACTTACACCGTATTTCCTTGCTCAAAGTAAAAAAAAAGTTTACTACTACAGACTGTTTTCACATATAACAAGCAACACCAAATAACACACTAAGCAAAGATAAAACTTAACTGATATAACCACAGAAATGTACAAAGATAAACAAAGATCCCTCACTAACTGAACGCCGTTTGAATTCTCTATTTCAAACCTCAGGAATCAGATTCCAAAAAATTCTCATATGTATCACCTGCTCTCCAGGCTCTTCGTATCCCAAACTCAAGGTCTGGCTCACTTACCATGCCTTCAAGCCTTACTGTAAGAACTCAGTGACCAATTTCTTGCTCCAAATTCAGGAACCCAGTCGTTTTAGATAGCTACAGGCACATATGTTCACGGACTACATAAATTTAAGAATTCTTTTTTAAATGATTTAAGTAGACTTTTTAAAAATGTGAATAAAATGCACATCCCTATTTTCATTCAAATTGTATTTTTTAACTCCACTTAATTCAGAATTTTTCTATGTAAATGTTTTTAAACTAGAACATGCCATTTTTTAAAAACTTTTAGGCCACCCAAATTTTTGTTTTAAACTGGACAGATTACTAAGATAATAGAATTAAATAATGTTTAATGCATGGCTGCCGTCAAAGAGTTCTGAAGCCAGTTTTAAATAACACCTTTTTTTTCAAATATTCATCAGAAATTATACAAACACCATGGGAAATAAAGTTTTCAAGAAAAACAATACTTTCAGTGTTAATTTTTCAGTAACATTTCACAAATTGTATCAGTTTTTTTGTAAGCCACAAAATAGCAAAGAGAAAAAGTAAAGAAATCTGAGACTACGTAAATTGAAAATGGCAAAATTTCAGATTAACTAGATTAACTTAGTTACAAAAGAATAGTACAAAACAATGCTAGAAGTAACTACTCTTCAAGGTTCAGTCAAAAGTCAAAGGACCATGCAAATAATGAATCAACTAGTTTAAGAAGAAAAAAGAAAAACCAGTCTTCACTAAAACAGTGCATTTTCCCAAATATTTAACTCAGGCTCACATCTGAACCTAAGCTTTTCCAAATACCTCGTGCTTGATAAAAAGTTAAAACTAACATAGGTTGAAAAGTGAAATCAAATATATGCTTTTTCTTTCACATACTCAAGAATTAAGAGATTGAGAAAAGAGGGTAGGTTTGAAGTAAACTACTTTTCCAAACTCTGTTGAATAAAAATATATAAATGACTTTTAAAAACTGTAATCAGTGCTCCTGTTTTAATCCTAATTTGCCTTTACTCTCCCAAGAGCTCACTTCAGGTTTGATCTAGAATACGAACCCTTTAATGGATCAAAGTCTAATAGTTATTTCACACAGTCCATCTCTTACATTTTAAAAAAAATCAGAGCAAAATTCAATTTCAAAAAAATAAAATCTTGTCTATAAGCCTCACAAAGTGAAATGACTTAGGATTTGATGATACCTTTAACTGATTCCCTATATAGGACCAACCAACATCCCCTGGAAAGAACAAAATTAAGATATTTTCACATGTTAGGCAATGACAGGTGTATTCTTTCCATGTTTGTCATCCTAAAGAACTAAGCTTCACCACTAAGCTTCAACTACAAGCCAGAAAATGAAAGCCCTTTGGGAGAACAAACCCAAAGGAGCTGTCAAGATTTCAAGTGTTGATTTCACACTCACAAGGACTGAAAGCAACTCATTCTTAATAAATACAGGTGCAAGCTTATGTCAGGTTAAGGTTTCTTACCTCCATTTCCAACTGTCCACATCACACACAACAATTTTGAACACAAATGATCTCCTACATACAATGATCGAGTTAGACTTTAGGTAAGATTTTAGGAATCCTTCCAGGCTTTAGTTCTATTCGGCCAGTTTTGAAATAGAACTCTATTACATACAACTCTTACCTAATCTTAAAAATTTAAATATCACTCCAAAAGAAAAAAGATTTGATGCGATACCTGTACCTTGTTCGGCCAAATGTTAGTACCAGAACTTCTGAAATGAACAAACCTGTGTCTGTGTTCATCGGGTCCATGGATCAGGAAGACGTCAGAGTTTTTAGCCCCTTTGATGGCATCAACGTGAGGAATTAACACATCTTCTAAACCTAGATCAAAGCGTTTGTGTTTTGAAGAGTCTGGTAGGAAAAAGAATGCCCCAAAACACAGGGTGATGAAGGCACTAAGAATCAGGAGAAGGATAAACTTCTCAGAAAGTCTCAAGGTAGCCCTGTGATGTGGGAAGGAGGGCGGCCCCAGGTTCAGAGGTGGTATCCTACGTCCAGAGAGGGGCAGCAGGGCTGGGGTAGTCATCGTTTAAGCTCTTGGACAGAAAACTTTATAAAGTTCTCATCTTACATCAAACGTACAATACATGGATTTGTCTTCAATATCTTAGCAAAAATGGGAAAACTCAATTTCTCTCAAAGGATCGTTGTGCTTTTTTAAGAGGGCTCCTCTTCCCCACTCGTCCAATTACACCCACAAAGGTGTGTGTTCCTCCCAAATGTCCTGTGATACCTTCTTTGCCATTTGGCTTTCAGTGCCTCATCGGGTTATTACCTCGATGCCTCCTCTTCATTCCTACGGGTAAGTCAGGCAAGCCACACCGCAGAGAAGCTGCAAGGTGGCTTCTTCCATTCCTGCATCTCAGCGAGATGCTCAAATGTGGTCTTCCGCCGCAAAAGGGAGCCTGGTGAGATTCAAGGAGTTGTAGATGGTTCTCTGAATCTCCGCTCCTCAATGGTGGAAAATGAGGGTGGCCGCGGAAGTCCGCAAACAGCGAGGAAGGTCTCCCACCTCTCCAGCAGGCAGAAGCGGCGGCGCCGGGAGAAGTAGCAGGAAGGACCTCTCCGGTGCCCGCGCCTCCCGACGCTGCCGGGCAGGCTCGGGGCAAGAGCTCCGACGCTGCCCACTCCACAGCTGGCGCAAGGGGCAGCAGCGTCCGAAATACCTGAGCCCCGCAAGCC